TCTCCATTCCTTTCTTTAACATCCATTGGTTAATTAATTTATGTTGCTATAGAGCGTTGCTACTATTTTTTGCATGCTAATTTTATAGTTCTGAAGTATAACCATTTTGTATTGTATAATTTCTTATTTACAGTTTATTAAGAATATTATTATATTAGTTAAAGTTTTCCACCATGTAACATTGGTTATTGTTAAACTTCTGCTTAGCAGATTACAACATAATGAAAGTACTAAAGTACTAGAATAATGAAATGTTACATGACACACATCAAACATACATGACATCGTAATATTTAGCTAAGTTATACATAAACGTATGCCATACATTTAATATAAGTTAAAAGACTTGGCAGAAACTAAAAGAAGGAGCGAGAGAGAAAGGATAATTAAAGATTAATTGTTTGGTATAGTCAGTAAACAGTTGAGAATCAAAAGTGTAAATTAGTGAGATTCAAATCAATCGACATATTAATAACATTCAACGTAAACTTATGTTTCATATTGCTTGTTCGTTTATAAATTTGCAAACATACAATAAAGATGAAACCAACTCAAGGCTAAGTGTACTTTCATTATTTTATAATCTGATAAGCTGCAGTTTAACAATAACGAATATTACACGGTGGAGAACTACAGAACTATTAAATATACAATTTCCCATAACTTTGAAAAATTTGACAAACGCGTTTTAGCTCTCATTTATGCTAAAAAATAGTTTTTTCTATTGTGTGATAGTTTTTTAAAACAATTTTTTAAAGTTAATTACCTTATATTTTAAAATATTTTTTAAATTAGTTAAATAATTATTACTTTTTAAATTATTGTTTAACACTATTTAAAATGCTTTTGATTAATTTCCATTGAAAAAAAATCAACCGAACTTTCGATAATTCAATTGTCCGTTAAAATTTTTAATTTGAAATTTTTATTAGCTGGCCGACCACTGTTTCAATCTCTCATTCCATCATTTCTCCCTAATTTGTTCATCTTCCTTGCTGCACACAAGACAGTGCGAATGATTTATGGCCATCTTAAATCATAATTCCCATTTCATTTCTAAACTCTTTTTCTTTCTTCTCTTCCTCTGTAAAAATTGTTGGTAATGGCACCACAAATAGAAACATCATAAAAATAAGTAAGCCAAAACAATTTGGGAGTTTTTGCCGGATTTTTCTGGGTTTATTTTTCTTTGTTAAACAAAATTTTAGCTATTTTTTTTATTTTGTGGTTAAAATGGTTTCTTCGTAGTTAAGTTTGTTTCTTTTGGTTGCCTGTTTCTTTTTAAGAATTTTTATTACAAAAATGTTGCGCCAGGATTGTTACTGGTGTTTGTTTTTTTGATTTTTATTTTGAGTCGAAGTTATATTATTTTATTTCATCTTTTACACTCCGTGCTTCAACTAAAATAAGTTTTGATAGGATTTTTAAAAGAAGACGATGTGGCAAGTTTAATGAAATTGATTGAGTAACATAGTTATAAAATGTTTCAATGTTCATTTGTGGAGACTTTTTTAAAGGAAGGCCTAGATTTTTATACTGAAAAATCGATCTATTTTGTTGGCGCGTAAAAATGTTTCAGTTAATTAAATAGCAATAACTTTTGAATCATCACTTTCAAAGGAAAAAATTAATGTTTGCTAACAAAAAGTAAATTGACGAAAAAAAATTATAATATTCCAATAAAAATGAAAAAAGCAAACAATAAACTCAACAAAAGATGCATACAGCACTTGGTCCACTGAACAAAAACAACGGACAACTCAAAAAAAACACATTTGACGCCACAGATTCGCCAACAAAACAGAAAACCTTAGCAACATTTTATGACCGGACTGTCAGTTTAATGAGGATGGTTCTGTATGTAGTTTTGCCTCTCATTCAACCTGATGACGCTTATTTCAAACGATTTTGCAAATCTAAAAGATCAAACTTTTCAGTATTTTTTTGTTTAATTTCAAGTCTGTCAGAAAAATTTAATTTTTTTTTGTGAGAAATATAATTTTATCCGAATATTTTTTTCTTAGTCATACAGCGCGTTTTTGTCTGGGTCTATGAATGTTTATGTGTATGTATGTGAGTTTGTGTGTATTTTTGTTTGTGTGCAAGTTCGTGTGTATATGCAACCATGTGTTTGAAATTTTAGAGAGCCAATATATTCCTATATAAAACAGTCGGAATAAGCTTTCAACTTTTCATAAATTATGCACAATCGATATAAGCTCTTTATGCTCTCTAGGGCTCATTACATGATATCATCAACTTTGTCTTCAGCACAATCATCGTCATCATTTTCGTCATTATCTTTGATATCATCTTTATCATCTTCGTCATTATCATCTTTATCATTATCGTCGTCATCATCATCATAATCATCATCATCACCGTCAAATTCATCATCGTCATCGTCGTCATCATCATAATTCTTACTATGACATCATTATTGTATGAAAAATAATTCCCCTTTTTATTTTTCTAATTTGAATGAAAATTAATTTTAATGTTTTTTTTGTAGAATTTCAACTTGAATCAAATTTTTACATTGTTTTTTTTTGTTTCGTTTTGTTTCAGAATTTTTGTCTTTTGTGATTTAAATTTTGTCATAGTAAATATTGTCATCCATGTATGTTTGACATTAGTGAAAAAAATTAGTTATCGCTGGTTACGGAAAATGTTAAAATATTTACTACCACGTTCGCTATGTTGATGTTACATTATAATCACTTCATCATTTCATCGTCCTCATCGTCATTAGATCATCATAGGCATCCAAAGTAGAATCGTTAACATCACGTAACTCATGCTTCCCGTCTTAACCTCGACTTGATCATCATCTTCGAATTCATCTTCTTCTTCATTTTCAAAATGCCGTCATAACGCTGTTCTTGTACTTATCATGTAGTCATTATTATCAATTTTATCATCATCACCATCACTATCATCATCGTCATCATCATCATCAGCAGCAGCAACAGCAGCTGCCGCGTAATTTTTTCATAATTATTCGGGTTCTTCTAATATTACCGACTACCGGTTCGGAAATAACTTTTCGGATGAATTGTTGAAAGTATTTTTGTGAGTTAGGTTAAAATAGGAAGAAGAAAGAGCATACTTGAAACGTAATTTGAAAAAAATTTAAAGTTGATGATGCGTTTTTAACACGGATAGACTAATGTTAGTAAACTTAATTGGATTATACTCTGTTTACAAATGATTTCCTAACAACAATAAAATGTTGATGATTAGTGGTGTTTCCACATACTTTCCAGTCTCAACCATTTATCAGTGCCTGCACTCACAAATCAAATGGACACAAACCTACCTGACATCCATCATGCCATACAATCTCATTGAACAAACAACTGGCAGGCTGGTATAGCTTTCAAACATCGTTAAAAATGAGCCAAAGCAAATTACTATTATGTTGGAGATCTCAATATTGATGTATCAAACATAAAAACATTCACAATATTTTTTAAACGGAAGCCAAAATTTTAAATATACTTAGTTATCGCTGTTTTCAATCCATTTTACAATTTGACACGATTGTGAGCACGACTGGCGTTTAGTATGAATAAATGAACATATCCAAGTACTTCGTCATAGAATCAACAGCTGGGCAGCTAGCCAGGGTCTGCAAGAAGGCCTTGAAGGTCGTAAACACGTTCATACCCAACCGCACCTTTCTAAAATTTTTCTTCTTTTCAGTTTCTGGCACTGCAAAAATAGTAATAAAAGTAAACTTAATTCTTGTAGTCATTATTATTATTATTAAAATACGACACTGTTAATTGTCTTATTTAATCCTTGCCCTATCTCAACTTGAAGATATAACACCTTAACATTAAAATTATTGCTTCCAATTTAACGAATGTTTCAAGTGACATGATGAATAATTCAGCATTTTGTTTTCAACGGTCTTTCTAATAATCTCCACATTGCGAACCAGCCTGGTTGTGAACTCGGCACCTGCTTCTTCAGATCCTTCCTTCCTTTTTTTGACATGCTTATTTGACAAATGCAAACGCATTACAATTGTTTCATTTTATTATTCTAAGAACGATATTTTCCAATCAATTAATCCACCAACTAAAAACTCAACTAAGCTATCAACCAAACTATCAAAATCAACTAGCTAACTAATCAATCAACCAACCGGCTGACCCAACCAAAACAATCAACCTTTTAGCTAGCCATCAAACCAATATTTATATTTATATATTTATACACACAAAATTTATAAAACCTTGCAAAGTACGATGAAGAGCACACGCACTCATAATTTTTCGGTGGATTTTTGGCTCATTCCGTCTGCAGGCAAAGAGAGTTGAATGCATATTAACATTTAAAAATGAATTCACACCTATTCCCATCAATAACCGAACTGAACGTACTTGTGTGCAAGTTCATTCGTGCACTTGAACGTACACACACACACACGCACACAAACACGCACACACAAACATACACACACACGTACACACGCACGCACATATATACACGCAAGAACATGTAGAAATTGACTTCAATGCGTTAACTCCTTTATCAATGCACATTAATATACGCTCATGTTTGTAATAAGTTTAATAAAAAATCACAACTAGACTTACAATAAATCTCTTACCTATCCACATTCGCACATAAACAGAATGAACGCATTCTAAAAGCTGAACACACAACCAACATCATTATAAACACACGCAAGCACTCAAACACAAACATAAACACACACACACACACACATACACTAAAATACAAAAACACACAATTTACCTACACACACAAATATTCACACAGACACAAACACACACACACACAGGCACATAACACACACGCCTCTTTTTTTATTTACATATTGTATTACACTTGATGTAGAAGGAGACCCGGGCGCACATATACACATATATAGAAGGACATTTATAGGCAGATTAAAGAGCAATGAAATAGTCATAAACACTCATATAATTGTTTCATACATCCGTGTAACTGGTGGTGGGCTGTTTCTACTGGATCATGTACGTGTTGATACATTTTCCACATACACGCACGCGCAACGCAACTCCACGCAAGAGGAAAATGGCAAAAGTAGGGAGATGGCTGGCCACCTGAATGTATGGACGACACGTAACGTTACAACACAATTCTTCGATGCTACTTACGTGTGTTGCGCTTTTTTCTCTGCATAGATGTGTTTGTATATATGTGTGTGTGTGTTTGTGTGTGTTGATATGTGTGTGTGTTTGTATGTGTGTTCCTGCCTGTTTATTTGTGTGGGTATGTAAATAGAAAGACACACGAATGCACGTACAAACAGACAGACGTGGAAGGGATAGAATACACGACGAATTAATTGATTTTATAGTTTTGAATAATGGGTACACTTTTAAATCTTATTCATCACATCAAATCATACTCCACACACGCACGCACGCGCACACGCACGCACGCGCACACACACACAAACACACACACACACACAAACACGCACGCACACACAAACACACGCACATTTTCACGCCCTTATGAATTACGCAACGGCATAGATCCTTGCTACGTCAGAACCATTAACACCATTGTTCCGCCGTTAATTTTATTATGCCAACTCTACTCCAGATTTTATCTATCACTTATCTTTGCCTGCGCTTGTTATTATTTTCTGTTGTTTTTTCATTATTATTTTTATTATTTTTAATAATAAATTTAATCGGGATTATCGTTTTAAAAGATTTCATCATAATTTGTAAATTGTTTTTATAAAATTTTCAAACTTGATAAATTATTTTTGGTCTATGTTAGTATTTTATTGGCTGCCATCTTAGCTTTTTTTTTCTGGAGTTAATTATTTATTTATCTTCAGTAAATCTCTAACTATTGTTGTGGTCTGTGTGTGGTTTGATCGAATTTGCGTTTTCCATTTCCTAACTGGTTGACAATTACATTTTTGCAATACTGCTATGGTATACATCTATTTTGATCGTTAAAGCGATAGCAGATTTTATTTATTAATAAATTTTTCATCACGATTATTTCATTTCCCTGGGGATTATATTCAACGAGTTTTTCAGAGAAATTTTGAAGATGATGGAAGAGATTTTCAAAAGGTTTAAAAAAAGTTGAAATTGTGAATTATTAAATTTGTCTTTGAATTTTCATTTTTTTAAAAACTTTTAAAATTATCATTTAAAAGTAAATTTTAAAACGTCTACTTGAAAAATTAAAAAAAACTCTATCTATTTATTCATCAGACAACTATATTTCAGAACGCCGTGACCTTCAATTGTTAACAAAATAAAAAACACGGCAACGACACGATTATTCTTATAAAATAAAATAAAAACAAAAAAAGTTTTTACAAGGAATGATGAGATGAAATAAAAAGCCAGCAAAGATGGAAATAACCTCATAAAGTTTTTTGAAACCCGCCTACACGTGCCACATTACTGGATGAACGTTTCGTTGGTATGGCAATTGAAAATGAAGGGATTTTTTAGGCCTAGAGCTGACCATTTGCTTGTTCTCTGAGTTAGATTGCTTTGAAGTTTATATAACATGATTCAGATCTAAGTTCAAAATAAGTTTGTAAGGTTGCTGTTGAAAAAAGAGAAAATTTGATCATTGACTACGATACATACACATTTTTTATATCTTTTTTTGAGTAACTAGGCTTTCAACGTAGATTTAACGGTAAAGTTGACAAAAGTGTAGATTGAAATAGAAACAAATTAAAGATAAATCAAAATGTTTATGAAAATATAAAATAGAATCACCAAACAACCATTGACAAAAAATATAAAACGAACTAAATCAAAATTCTGAAAGAATTGTAAGATAAACTATCCCAATAGAAATAAGCGTAAGCCAAGCAGCCGAATCCATTGAAAGCGATTCACTCTACGTCATGTGTTGAGCAACAGTTTAATTAAAAATGTTATATTTATGCTATTTATATTACGCTCCTCTTTCTATTTACGAACCGTACCATGTTCCACACGCTGCTGTTGGGTATGTTTGTATGCGTGAATCTCTGTATGAATGTGTCTGTATGTATGTGTCTGAGTTAGTGGGTGTTTTTGTGTGTGTTTCTGTGATCGGTATTTATCGGTAGTTTGCGTTTGTATGCAATACATATACTGTTTCTATATGTGTATGAGTGAGTGTCTGTATGTTTGGATTGGTTTGTTTGAGTTGCATTTGGTGCTTTGAATGTTTTATTCAGTAATGATGTATATGTTTGTTTAATTTATTGATTTCAGAAATCCTAAGGTTAAAATCAGTTTTTACTTTGTAAAAATTAATCATACGAAAAGATTTTAAAAGTCATAACAACAATTTGACTAATTTCGAGCTAAAATTTTGACTATGTGCTGACCATATTTCGGAAAGCACCTAGTTAAAAGATATTTCATCTAGTGCCACGTCTCTGAATACATACAAATTAAAATTTTCCTACTCTTCAAGTGAATTTTTGTTTAATAAATAATGCAAAATGATATAAAACAACCTCAAAAGTTCAATTTCAGAACGTTTATCTAAATTTTAAATAATTTTTCAGCTGTTAAACTTTCTCCTTTTTATCTGGTAATATTTATTCAAATGATTTTTTAATTACATCTTCAGTATTCTATTCCTAAATGATTTGCTAAATCGAGAACGTCTGAAATATCACACTCGCTTTGCAAATAAAAAATAATTACAGAACTTGAAAAAAAATCTCGTTAAAAAGTTTTTAAAGCATTAATTGTAACTAAAGCCTATTTTGACTTTCATTTCGTTTGAAATTGTTTAACTCTACACTCGCGTCTACGTGATTGCAAATGTAGTACAGTAACTATTGTATATTAATCATATTTGTCTATTTAGGCGAATGTTTGTTCTCGGCAGATCATTCCAGGTATGTCTCCAATTACTCATCCAGGTGTATGGAGACAGTTTGATTGTATATCAAAGTGACGAAACAAAGTAACAAATGCAATTAGACGGCAAGTAATATGTGGATTGATGTATGTATGTATGTAATATTTTGTGTGTGTGTGTGTGTGTGTGTATATGTGTGTGTGTATGTATGCGTTTTTGTTGTGTGTATGTATGCGTTTTTGTATATATGAGTATGCATAGGTAGTTTATGCATGTCAAATGTGTATATCTTACATAGGTGTGTGCATGTTAGTTTGTATGTATGTATGTATGTGTGTATGTGTGTATGTGTTAATGTTTATATAAATATATAATACCCAGGCTTATAAATAAAAATGCTGATCATAATTTTAGTCCACTGTACCGTCAAAAACGCATTTCTAGCAATTCTTTGTAACATCACAGCATTTAACAGAAAAAAAAAACACAATAACAAAAATCATTAAACTTCTAAAGAAAAATAAAATAAAAAACTCAGCAGCGTGACTGAATGAATGATTGAAAGAACAAACAAATTAGAAGACCTGCCCGTGTGCGCGTCCTAGTAATTAAAAGACAAACATCACAACTGACAAGATCGTTATCGTCACCGTCAACATCATCTTCATCGTCATCATCATCGTCTTCATCATCATCATCGTCGTCGTCGTCGTCGTCTTCATCATCATCATCATCATCATCATCATCTTTTTCTTCTTCTTTGCTAAACTATCTTTAATTCACTCATAATAGTTTTGCAACACTACTCATTATTGTCATTTTCTTCATCAACTTCATCATCGCCGTAATCATTCTCATCATCGTCATCATCGTCGTCGTCATGTCGCCTCAATACAATCGGTGAAAAGACAGCAGAAAGATTTCAAAGCATGCATCTTATATCACATTCATGAGCGAGTGAGCTCCGACTTAACGTTGCTGTATTGTTTCATTGTTTTCGTTGTTACTGATTTATATATAATTTGTATGAACTGTTTGTATGTCTGGTTTGTATGTTATGTTTCTATGCAATGTATGTGTACATTTATTTGTATAAACTGTTTGTTTGTATTTTTTTTATGTTATATTTGTATGTTTGATTTATATACCATGTTCGATTAATATTCTGGTATTGTATATTTGGTTTGTATGTTTTTTATGTAATGTTTTGTATACAATATAAAAGAACAATATAGATATATTTTTGTAACTGGATGTATTTTTATCTTGCATTGTGTTTAAATGTACGACTTCGTTTGATATGGATGCAAGGGAGTTCTACATTGTTTGTTCTACATTGTATTTTATGTTCATTCTTTTTTTTTTTTTATTATTATTATTTCATTTTGTTTTTATTTATGTTATTATTATTACTATTGTTACTGTTGATATAGTTGTGATCTTTTTGTTTTTACCATTTAGCAGTGAATCTATAACGTTTCATATTTTGGAGGTTTGCCTGTGTGTTGATAACGTTACTCGCGCTATGTCACACAGTTGTTTTGTTGATTGTGTCTCATTGTGTTGTCAGACAATGCAATATAATCTTTGACATTGTTGTCATAGCTTTTAAGTTTTGTTCAAAATTTTGAATTGCAATGCATGCATCAGCCATCAAACAAATAATGTTTTACGACATCATCATTCATACGGAAATTTAAACTGCAGATACCATAAAAGGGATGGGTCATACAAGTTTACTACAACTTATAACAAAATTTTAATTCTTCAAGCCGCAATGTCACAACAGTAATAACAGCAGCAGCAACAACAACAACAACAACTACAACAGCAACAACAACCTGCAAACTCAACTAAGAAAGCCCTGACATTGACATCATTACAATCTGCTAACAAAACTCCCAAGCGGACCAGCACAAGAAAGAAACTTATTATCTGGCTTAGTCTGTCAATCAGTTTCGTGCCGCTAACACGTGTTTTTTTTCATTTTTGTTTGATGGAAGATTTTTATTTTGAAAAATTACTTCATAATTTTCACTTTTGAAAAATTATTTCAAAATTATTATTTTGAAAAATTATTTTGAAAAATCATTTTCCTACATTGACTTCCAAACAAATTTGTTTCACAGAGAGATTTGACAAAAAATAATATAAACAGTCAAATTATTTTTACAGTACATGAACTCAATTAAAAATATAAAAAAATATTTGTTTAATTGCAATAAAGCGTTTAGACAAATATAAAAAACGAGCATTTAGTCTGCCATATAGACAGCGCAAAATCTTTCAAAATGACAGATGAATGGAGGACATAATGGAGAAGAGAATAAACATAGAAAGTAGATACATAGACAGTTGCAAAGCTCAGCCTACACCTGTATGGGGAGAATCAGAAAATCAAAGAGACCGTCATCAATAAGAAATGACCTGTCTGGTGCCTCACTGTCTCCTGCTTCATTCATTCTTTTCTTTCCACTCTCTTCAATCGCTCAATTTACTTTTGTTTTCCGTGTAGAGCATTTTATTCAGCGCTTTTGTTCAGTTCTTATATTTTATTCAAGTTTGTTTGAATTTATTTGAAAAAATTTTGAAAAAGTGTTTTTAACATTGCATAATATTTGTCTTTCTGTTTAGTTAAGATATTGAAAATATGGATTAATATCTGTTGTTGTTTTATTTAATTTTTAAATTTATTTATCTTAAATATTCTTTTGTTATTTTTAATTGTTTCTAGAACGTAATTTCAAACTAAAATTCCTTTGACAACATATATATTCTTATCTACGTCCGTGTATTTATGTTCGCAGGATACGTAGGGGCAATATATAAGTATCGGTAGAGACAGGTGGAGACCCAAATGAATAAATGATTGGATTAATGAAACTTCACTATTGTCTGTTTATGTATCTCTATCTATCTATTTATTTATCCATCCATCCATCCATCCATCCATCCATCCATCCATCCATCCATCCATCCATCCATCCATCCATCCATCCATCCATCCATCCATCCATCCATCCATCCATCCATCCATCCATCCATCCATCCATCCATCCGTGTTTGTCTCTATATGAAATCTTTGTTTTGTTGTTTCGAAAAAAGTAGAGAAATATTTTTTGTCATTCGTTTAAAATCGCATATCTATTTTAAATGTTGCTCCGATCAATGTATATGATTCCTGCTCCGTGATCTGAATGTGTATTTCTATTAGTTGATCTATCTCTTCTCCCAGCGTAAAACTGAATTATTTGTTTTACATAAGTGGATGCGTGCGATGCCACGTGTCTGTCTGTGTGTATGTGTGTGTGTGTGTGTGTGTTTGAATATGTTTATGCATGTCTGTCTGTTGTCTGTCTGTTGTTTATCAGGTTAGTATGTGAAGATTTGGTGTGCGCGTATATATATTGTTTGTGTGTGGATGGCTTTATATTGAATGTTTGTGTATACGTGTTTATTTGTGTGTCTGTGTGTGTGTGTGAGTATGTACGCTTCCAACTCCCTTTAATCCCTCTCTTTGTTACATTCGTGTTTTATCATCATTCCACTTGGCTGTTTCAATATGCATAAACCATTAGAAAATAAACATAAGAAGAGAAAATCTCAAAAATAAAGAAAATTTTTTTCGTTCGGTAAAATGAAACGCAGGGCCTAGAGAGATTGACATAAGAATGTAGGCAATGTAATTCCGTGGATTTAACAGCTTATTAAATCGTTATATGGAGACAGCTGAACAAGCTAATAAAGCAAACATCAGGATCAAAATAAGGAAAATAATCTTCGACAAAATAAAAAACAATTTTTCGTGTTTCTGATTATGAAACACGAAACCAACGCGGATTAAATTTAATATTTTGCAAAAATTAAAGAACCGAAATAATAACGAACGAGACGAAAATACGTAAGACGTCAGATCAGGTTCATAGCAGCAACATAAAAAAGTACCATGATAAAACAAAAACAAAACAAAGAATGTTAAAATCTTCTTTTTCGTATTTTCGCTCGATTATGGATCTAAAAAATTTGTGAGTATTGAACATATGTGCGTCGCCGTTTAGGAAAGATGTGATGCTAATGCAGGAGAGCTCTATTGTTTGTTCAACGGTTTTTTTTAACATTATTTTATTTCTGTTTTTCATCTAATTTCATTTTCGTTGCTTTGTTTTCTGGCATAAATTATTTGTTCAAAAATTTTTTGACTCAAAAATATTGAAAATTTTTTAAAAGAAAATAAAAATTTCATGTTCAGTAAGCAAATTTTCTAAAAAAAACAATTTTTCAAACATTTTCGACGTTGTTCCGTATTTTTCATCCTTCTTTGTTTTTTTCACATTTTTCAAGCGCAACTCTCCGGAGCCAAGCATGCTTATTGGGTTTTGTTTTTCTGAGTTTTGCAATGCTTGCAGTGAAAAATTTCTTTGGTCGTTTGGGGCATAAACAAAGGAACAGCAGTATGCAAGATATATTCCAACGCCAGCAGAGCCAACGTTGTTACACTCAGTCTGCCAAGCTCACACAGCTACGTGAAAAAACAAAAAGCGTACGTATAAACATTTTGATGATAGCGATAGCACAATAATAATGCTTAATATGCACATTTTCAACACGTGTCTGACTGAACCAAAAAACCCAGTGGCATGCTAGCAGTCATTTTACATCTTTACTTGCAGTCACGCAACGTGCAATAAAAAATTAAAACTCACACTCTTTTGGACTTTTGTGCTGTTAGCAGACTCACACGTAAGCAAGCTTCTGCGAATAAATACACCGTGTAATGGATGTACGCAATTATTTGTTAGAATTTACATACACTTAACGGCATAACTCTCTGATAAAAACATAAATATTCGTCTGAAGTGAAAACCTTAGCGAAGGTGCTGATTTTTACCAACCAGTTTGAAACCTCCAGTACAAAGGAGACTTAGTTAGGAAACATGCAACCTGATTGGGCAACCAAAATGTAAACAAAAAGTAACTTTTTCAATTTTTTGAGAAATAAAAGCTCTGCCGATCAATCATAATATAATCCATCGTTGGGGCTGTAATGAAGCGCGTCAGCATTTGAAAGTTAATTGAGGACTGAACTTTCCGGCCATTCACCTAGGCATGCAGATGCATTTCAGCACATTATGGACCACTTTCGGTCGTAATGATCCTTTCAATAACTAACTAAAACATATTTTTTATTACCTCACAGCGATAAAGTTTGATTAGACATCTTTGGCAAATGTTCAAAAATAAACCCACATTTGTTAACTCTTTTAATGTGTTCTTGTCAAAGTTTTGCAAATTTGTAATACACAAGACCACTACCGAAAACACTGGATGTTAGCCAAAAATTTTGTCAAACAAACCATTGCTATTTCAAACATTTTTTTTACAAAATTTAAAAAATTTGTACGCGAGTAACCAGCTAACAGATAGTTTGGGTGCCAAATTCTACACTTCTATTTCGAGTCGAAATTGTTCAATTGATTTTACATTTTAAATTCAAACTATTAATGAAGTTGAAATTTTCTCTTTCTCACTCTCTCTCTCTCTCTCTCTCTCTATATATATATATATATATATATATATATTTATTTATTTATTTATTCACTAATTACTGGCTAATGTACTAATGTATTCATACACACAAATGGTCATAGTAATCACCATGAAATAATATTGATACCTACTCATCTTGACATAAACAACAATTTAGCACATGTGCTTGTATAATCACCAACCAACCAATCACACAACAATCGATTATTATTATTATTATTATTTTTATTATTACAAATGTACATTAGGTTTCATTAGTACGCTAATAATGAACAAGCAAGGGAGTATATATCTATTAGTTTATTATTAAACTTTGGCAGGTATGTTATTATATAAGCATGTGTAAACATTTTTCTCTGTTAAGAGTTATATGCTTGAGCAAGCTTAGGCAGACATGGAATCCTTCCTAATAATGCTAGTTAATAATGAGGTGGAGTTTGACGAGATATATCACACGTACTCACACATGCAAACATCTTCTCAGATATTAATTTAAATTGATGGTGACCACCCGTTTTTTTCTTCTTAGTGAAGCATAACAACTTGCCCGCAGAGAAACACGCACACGAAAACAGGCTCGCTTAGAACCAAACATACAAAAAACATACAAACAAATGTAAATACACACTTGCACAGACAAACATTTTAACATAATTATACTAACAATACAATGCTGAAACAAAAACATTAAGATGATACACAAGGAGTAAGACAGTGCTGTGCAGACAAAAGATGAATTGAATATGTACTAGAAAGGCTTTATTTTTATTAAGCTAATATGCTCGATAATGTTCACGTGGATTTATGCCTGTTAGTTTCACATCATGAAATATGAATCTCTCCCTGCACTCCCTTCTGACCATTATTACTCCATACCTTCACGTACATCTACATTTAACTGTGTGCATGTTTTATAGGCTTTTGTTTATTTACACTATTTTTATCTTTAACTTTTTAATTTGTTTTCCACCTGATATTCTTTTTTTCGTTCCTCTGTTAATTTCCTTTCATCATTTTCCTCTCTTCCATGCGTGTATTCACGTTTGTGTATTCACGTTCGCACTGCATCTTGCGTGAGTCGGTCAACTTGAGCACTTGCATTTGTGCGGAAGAGAAAAGTACCTACACATGTTCACATGGAAACGTACTACCGCCTGTTGGTTGGTATGCGTGTACGCACGGTGCTGTACAAATGCGTGTACAAGATGCGTGCGTGTAGAACATCCGTGTCTAAGTGTTCGCCCATGAACATGCACCCCATCCACATAACTTCAAGTACCTTCCTTCCTTCAACAACTCTTCTCCTGCTCTCTTTGTTTTCAAACGCATTTACGATGATGGCGATGATGATGGTGATTGCGATGATGATAATGATTATGGTGGTGGTGGTGATAATATTGAAGATAACAATGATGGCAATCATGTTGAGGCTGATGATGACCACCACCCCAGTGAATAAAATATCACCGAGAAGTCCAAAGAATAATGATGATGGCTATGATGAAGAATGTATAAGTAATGTGAAGAGAAATGTTTGAAGGATGTTGAAACTTTATGTGAAAGACAATGCTGACAATAATATTGGTGATAAAAATAAATACGAATCGACAACCAGTAAAAAACTGTTATTGCTCTCCCACACGGTATAAAACCACACAAACAAACAACGGAGAATTAATGATGTCCAAAAATTGTCATCTCGATGAAGATAATTAAAAACAAATAAGAAAAATAAACAAGTTGACTTAATAAACGGTCGTTACTGCAAAAAAAATGTTTGGCGATGTTTGTGACGACGACGACGATGACGTCAACATAATAACGACAATTATAACGACAAATATGAATTTATCATGACGACGATGATGTCATAATTTCAACAGCAAATAGGGCTTTAAAATGACGACGATGAAGACGATCATCATTACAATAAAAATATTTTAATGATGATGACGACTGTGCTATCATTATAAAATTAAAAATAACCTCTACAATGACGTACAACAACAACAACACACGTTTAGACGACATTTTCCCCGAGATCGGGGGCTGCCGTTTGGCTACCTATGATGAAACCGAAATACCCCTCGACGCCATCCACATCTGTCACTCGCCTCAGTATCACGCAACCCCGCTTTCACCCTATCCTTCTCCACCTGCTCTCTCCATCCCAATCGCGGACGACCCCTTCCTACCACTCCTTCAACCTCGAACTCCAACGCTCGCCTAATCCCGACCCTTTCATCCCTTCTCAACACATGTCCATACCATCGCAATCTCGATCTCCTTATCAATGTCACAATGTCCTCATTCAGTCCCATCATTGACATCAGCTCTGTACTACTCCTCCTATCCTTCACTTTAACCCCACACATCATCCTCACCATAGCTCTTTCAGCCCTCTGCAGTACACTTTTCTCCTCTCTCAACACCCAAGTTTCACCACCATATACCATCGCTGCTCTCACACATGCTTTATATACCCTCCCTTTCATCTTCACTGACCATTTCTTTCCACACAATACCCCACCCAGTTCCCTAAATTTCATCCATCCTACACGAACTTTAGCCGTAACTGCGCTTAAACAAAAGCTTTCCACTCTTTCAATACCACCACTCAACCCCGTCTTTGCGTCCGTCCTATTAATCACACCATGAACACATTTCTTACATTTGAACATGTCTTCCACCTTTTTCAGTGCCCCCCTCACACCACTACATCTCTCATGCACCCATTTCTGACATCCTATACACAATACCGAGATAGCCTTCACTCTCCTGTCACATACCCCACGGGGGTCTATTTTACTTATCACTCGCTCCCCACCTTCCCCACTCACCATTACCTTCGTCTTATCAATATTAACTTTTAACCCTTTCTTTTCAATAACACTTTTCCATCTGTCAAATTTTAACTGCAATTCTTCCATGCTATCAGCCATCAAGACTAAATCATCTGCATACAAAATCTCAAATAACAACCCCTCCATTATGTTTTCACACACAACATCCATCACAATTGCAAACAGTTCCAACCCTCACCTTTGTCTTTGCCCCTTCATACAGCTGCATCACAGCTTTAACAAGTCTCTCATTCACTCCTTTCTTCCTCAACGCCCATTCAATGACCTTCCTCGGTACTCGATCAAAAGCCTTTTCTAGATCCACAAAGCACATGTACAATCTTCGTTTCTTCTTTCTATAATTCTCCTGCAACATTCTCACCATGAACAACGCATCCACCGTTCCCCTACCAGGCATAAACCCACACTGCATTTCATTAACTGTCACCATATTTCTCAACCTCCTCTCAAGCACCCTCTCCACTACCTTTATTCCGTGCTCTAGCAATTTCACACCCCTATATGACCCACAATCTCTCACATCTCCTTTGCCCTTATACAACGGCACCAACACACTGTGTCGCCAATCCTCAGGTATACCTTCATCATCAAACATACTGTTAGCAATTTTCATCATAACTTCAATTCCTATCACCCACTCGCTTTTATATGTTCTGCCGCCACTTCCGAAACCCCTGTCGCCTTACCTAGTTTCATTTCTCTAACTGCTTTCTCTACTTCCTCCTTCGTCACCTTTTCTATAGGTCCGTGTGTGACCGCGGATTCCACATCTCCATCCCACTCATTCTCTTCATTCATCAACATTTCCATATGAGCTTTCCACGCCTGAGCTTTTTCCTCCTCATCTATGCACAACTTGCCAGATCCATCCAAAACACATCCATTCCCTATAACATCTTTCCTATCCCTTATTGACTGCTTTGCTACTTTGAACATTTTCCTCACATCAAATTCCATTTCCTTCATTAACCTATCTGATGCTTTCGTCATTGCAGTTGCCACTGCCTGTTAAATTCTTGGTTCATTTCATTGACTGATTAATATATAATCGTCGTACCAAATAATATGTGACGCGATGGTTTATAATGTCTTAATCGCAAAATTTTTAACGCCAAAAATAATATCAGAATAATTTCTATATAAAAGATCACGATGAACAAAAACGCATTCATTCATTTGTAGATATCATTGGCAAGTTAATAATATAAAGTACAAAAAATAATTATTATTACTGAAGATAAAAGTTTTTGTTAAAAAATTAACAAATTGACTAAGACTAAAATACTTATGCAATATGCTGCAGATGAGGAAGATGATTCTGAAGATGAAATAATCACAAATTATTCTAAACTTTACAACAATAACACCATTATAAAAGGGAATAACTCCGAAACAAATTACTAACATTGCCAAAAAAACATTATCAACCATAAATCCATCATCACATCATCACATCATCAACCAACATGCAAAACTGATAGCTGGAAGTTTATTAATGGAGGAAGAAAGGAGCAGAACACGGAATCGTGATATATTAATAACGGTGATTGAAATGCAACAATGGAAAAATTATGATGGCGGTGATAGTGATGAATATGAGATGATGATGATGATGACGAGGACGATGATGAGGATGATGAAGATGATGATGAAGATGATGATGACGAGTACGAGATGATGATGATGATGAACATGAAATGAAGACATCATTAATAATGACAACTTGAAAAATGATAACAATACCCTTGATGAGAATGACGCCTATAATGACAATGATGACGATGACGATGATGACATAAAAGTGACATGTTGATGACGTGTTTATTCGTTCGTTGAGCTCGAAGCTTTGCTGTCATGCGATGATGGGGAAAATTCTCTCCCTCTTTCTCTCTCTTACTTTCTCTTTTCTTCTCCTTTTTTCTTTTACTTTTTCTCTTTATCTCCTTCTCTATCATTTTTTATTTATTTATTTTTTAAATCCTCTTTGCTTCTCTGATTTTTTCCATTTTTTTTATTTATAAGAATTTTATAAACTGTACGATTATACAAACATGCACATACACACAAACACTCACTCACACACACGTAAACACAAGTTCACACACATAAAAATATGTTGAAACATATACGTGTTCATTCCTAAGAATATAACAATTGTTCATTTAATTACTAAAGTATGAATAAGGCATTTTTGAAACAATTAACTCCGCACGTTTGTCTTATCTGAAGTTTTCAAAATTTGGAAATATAATTTTTTTCGGAGATTTAGTGAGTAGGTGTATGCAAAAGCAATAGCCGTGTTAATCTTTTTATGAGAGATTTCTCTTCAAAATAGAAGATAAATGAAGATTCTTCCATTTAATTTACCATTTTAAATATTTCTCTATATCAAGGTTGTCAAACTACGGTCAGCAAAGCTATTTTATGCGACCCGCGTGGTCTTGTTCTCCAAAAAAAGGAAAGATCGTCAGCCAGACATTAGAAAAAAAAGGAAGAACCACAAATTTTAAAAAATTTTTTCCCGGGTTGAAGAAATCTGCTTGTTAAGTACACATGCAGCCCTTCAAATGTGAAATAGTTCTCAATGTGGTCATCACAACACAAAGATTGCCCACCCTGCTCTATAAAGTTCAGAGTTATTAATTTTTATAAATTATACAGTGACAGGAATTTATTGTCGAAATCATCATTCAAATTTCGGTCAGCTTTATTTCATTATAATTTTTTTTTCGTCGTTATCATCGTCGTCATCAGCACAAGCACAGCAGTCATCATTGCCATCATCATTGAAATCAGTGTGCCTTCCTAGATAGCATTCACAATGATTAATTCAAAATGAAGTAAATTAATGAATGGCAGAAACACCAGCAGTTTCTTTTTTTATTCTTTTATTTATTACGTCACTTATTCTATTCATTCATTCATCTATTCTTTCATTCTTTTATTCATTCAGTCATTCGTCCCTTCACTCATTCGTCTTCATTAGCTGTCAATAGCGGTTTAGTTAGAGTTGTCTTCATCTACTTTCAACGTCTTTAATTTTTAATAAGCTGATTTTTGGCTAATTAGTTTTTACTTCTGCCTTTCGTGTCGGGATACAATTTCATTTGTTGTCAATATTTGCTGCGCCATGTTCATTTTCTCTCTTTTTAGCTATGCAAAATGATATTTTCATTTGCTCGTTGAAGATGTTTTGCATTTTTGCGGCTGGTGTGGTGGCCACTGGCTTTTTGCTGGCTTCTGTTGTTCACGTTGTGCGCTTCAATTAACATGCAAATTTATTGTATTACGTGCTAACTCGAGGCGATATTTATTCCGCGACAACGTTGTTATTGTTGTTCCGTGCTGTTACGAGCTGATATGTTGCGTAGGACAGCTGTTAGTCACGACAACAAAAAAACAGCAATAATAGTAATAACATCAACAATAATAATAATGGCAACCACTAATACATAATCAACATCTACAACAACAGTCGCTATTGCGGTAACCACATCCGAGCTGCAACATGCTCTTTAGAGTAGGCTAATGATAAAATATTTTATTTTTATAGCAGGTTTTTTAAAAATATAATAAAAGTTATGTACTGCACATGTGTGCTGTATAACTATGGGGAATATAAATATTGTTTTTTAAACTCGTGCAAGTCATTAAATGAAAAACTGTCTAATTTTTGATAAAAAAATTGAGTTGACAACATGTGTTTTGTTATTTGAGTTGTTTAGCTTAATTGAATTGTGTTACTCACGTAATTTAAAAGAAAACCTATTCGCAATAATATTAACGACTTTATTGACGTACTTTTATCATTTTTGTTGTAATTTTGAATGAAACTTCTCCTAGATAATGTAGGAGAAATACATCACGTGTATAAATGTGTGTACATTGTTAAAAAGAGCGTTGTTAGCTGTCAAAGTGGTTGTTGGCAGTTGTTGACGATGACAAATGAAAGATGACTGAATGACCACTGACGATATTTTATGATGTTGCGTCTCATTTCTGACAATATCTATACATCATTTTTACCCACCCACCCACTCACTCACTATATATTTCACGCACGTATTCTAACGGACATTCTAAGCACGCATTCATTTCAACTGCAAAACAAACAATGGATTAATTTGTTTAATGATATTTCAAAGTACAACAAAAATGTGATGGTGATATAGTATTAGTAATTTTAGTAATTTCAAAGTGCTTTTAAAGAATTTTGACAATAATCGTTTGAAAGAAAACAAAAAGTGGCTTGAAACTAGCACAATGTTGAAAAAACATTTGCCAACAAATTAAAAAAGTAATTTTAACAAGGGCACATTGTTTTGTGTTTAAGCTGTTGGCAACACCAGCGAACAAAAAAATATATGTCATTCAACACACAACAACAACAACAACAACAACAACAACAAAAACAACAACATCAACACCACCACCAACAACAACAACAAAAACAACTACACAACAACAACAACTACTACAACAACAACAATACAACAACAGCAGCAATAACAACAGCAACAACAACAGCAGCAATAACAACAAACCAATACGAAAAACTCTCTTACTGCTAAACTACGCGACATTAATCATCAGTTCATCCGTTTATTAGAACTCAATAATGAACTGTCCTGAATATGATGTGTTTTTAGTTGTTTGGTAAGGTCTTGCAATGTTGTTTTGTTCTATTTTTATAATACTTTTTAAATGTACAAACGGTTGATTATAATATTTGAAAATGTATCTAGTGAGTTGAGATAAATTGAACTGCGTAAAGCAAATTTAAAAAAAAATTCGTTTTGAGCAGATTTTTGCCGTTAAAACGTTTTAAAGGCTTCAACATTATGATGTTTTCAACTCTGAAAAAATTTGACGTTTAATTGTAGTTGCATGAATGTTTCCATTGTTTCGCCATTTAAAGTGTCAATAGCTCAACTGGTTGATTGATACTGCACCAAAAATATCAAAATTCAATTAGTTGTAAATATTGGATTGTTTCATTTACTTAACTGACAACATTAAATTGTTTTATTCTATAATTTTAAATTTAGAGCGGAATGTGAACAATACATTTGTTATCCCTTTATAGTGTTCTGTAATGAAGTCAACGGTGATCAATTGAACAAGGACAATCATAAACAACAACAACAACAACTGCAACACCATCACCACTATCAACAACAACAACAACCTGAACGACAACAATACTTCCAAAAATCACAGCAGCAGCAGCAACAACCACCACAAAACTTTCAACAAACGGCTCTCCAGCCAGCATCTGCAACAACACCTCACAACAACAACAATAATCCACTTTACCATCCACTTCGCGAGTATTGTCGTTGGGAAACGGCAAACGTGACATGTCCGAGTGCTCACCTGGCGGTCATCCGGTCAGCTTACTACGGCCGAATGAGAAACAACAGATGCACAGAGACTGAGGTGTATGTCGGATGCTCCTACGATGCACTTGCTGAGCTTGACTTTATGTGCTCTGGTAGGTTTTTGTTAGTAGAGGGAATCATTTTTTTGAACAATGCGAAAATTAAAAAATACAATAAGAGCCAAAAAATTTCAAAATTATAAATCGAAATTGTGAAAATTAGAAAAAATTATTTTAATTTTATATTTTTGAATGAGTTATTTTTCGATTAACGTAATGATTAAATGACAGATTAAGAAAGATAAAATATTTAAATTTTTTTTTTCATAAATAACTGAAAAGATTGATGAGATTTTTAATTTTATTTTTATCAGTGATGAAAATAGTTTAACTCAATTTCCTTTTTTAGATATCGTGATTGTTATCACAACTTGCATAATCATCTTCATGATTATCTTTTTCTCATTATCATCAACATCATTGTTACTAAACGTCAGTTTCAGTCAGTTCTACTTTTCTATCTATCAGTTCTATTTATCTTCGATTTTTGGCTACCGCAATACGTCTCTGCTAAGAATAAAAAATTCTACCATTTCAATATCAGCCTATTTCATTTTATTATACAACTTCCATGACAATCATCATTCCATTCTTCATCATCTCTTTTGACGTTTCTCCAGAAAACCTTGCTAACACTAAATTTTTTCAGCGGAGCTGTTAAGCAAGTGATCGTCAAATTCATAATCATCGTCCTCATCATGATCATTATTGTAATTCATAATCGTCATCTTCATCATCATCGTCGTTGTCATCATCATCATCATCGTCAATCTCATCATCATCGTCGTCGTCGTCATGACAGGTCGACCCCAATGTTCGGTAACCGTACCAGTTCAGGATCTGCATGAGAAACAGCCCTGTCCCAAAGACATGCTCACCCATCTAGAACTGGAGTATGAATGCGTGCCAGGTTCGGTTCCTATTATCTTCTCACTAACTGCCATCACAGTTATTCCGTTGTGTCACTCTTATCATTTACTCTATCATTGTCTCTTTTACTCATTACCTGGACAACCTAAACAACTTTTTGTTGCATTTTAAAATCAAAAATACTTTATGGAGAATGAATGGTCCTTTAACCGCATTGACTATGTTCGAATGCAAAGAAATCCCCACACCGAACATGCAGTGTGTGCAGTACATGCATTCATACGCCGTGTGTGCGTAGTGCGAGGCTGATTTTGCTACATATTATTTAAAGGAAATTATATTGATAATTTAACTATGTTGTATCAATGCAAACAACAAATTAATTAGAATGATAGGCGTACATGCGTACTTTTAAACTGATTTCTTTATAGAAAATTTCTTTTTGTGTTTAACCAATATATAATATTCAATTTATAGATAATTTAAAGTTCATATTACTAAAGAAAATGAAAAATGACTTAAAACAATATCGATACATGAAATGTTTTTAAATATTTTTTCAGCATTGCAAAAAAATGTTCGCTTCCATTCAAACATTCTGAAATGTTAAGCCGCGAATCTTTTCTGACGAAAGAAAGTTGGAAAAATTTCATTACTTCCCCGTCTACTTCAAATAAAAATATGTATTTAGGATTTTTTCATCTAAAATGAATGAAATCCTTTCTTTACTAAGATTTAAATTTCATTCTAACAACCCACAAGTATAATAAGTTAAAAAGGTAATAATCATTTTGTTCAATTTTTGATTCATTCAAAATCTTTTCGTTTATTGTAAAAGACATGCTGGACATGCACAGTGTCCGGTTGGCACTCCACAACTGGTCATCATCTGGAAGGCGCGAATCTTCTGATCGGACGAATCAATATTTGATATTCAACAAACAAACAGAGACAAATAAAGAAAGCGAAATGAAATAAAAATATTACTCAGTATTTATCTTTGAAAAATCAGGAAAGAACTCCTACCCTGGAGATCAAAAATGTATTTCGATTGCAAATCGACAAAAAAATTTCTTCAGGATGAACAAAAAATCTTTAAAATTATTTTTAAAACATTTCAAAAATACTTTAAAATCTTTTTAAAATAAAAAGATTAAGAATAACAGAAATAGCGAAAAATAACAAAAGTAGAACAAAAAGCAAATGAAGAGAACGGTCTTATCGGACTTATAAGCTTGGCGTAACTCGAAATAAGCCAAGCATTTAATCTTTTGAGATGCTGCTATGTTCATCTTGATCTTCAAATGCTACTTGTTTTGTCGTTAACGTTCTCTTGTTCTCTTATGTTTATTTTATTTCCTTTATTTTTAATTTTAGTCTCATTTTTCTTCTTTTTATTATTATTTAATTTTTTTTCATTCTGTAAGAATCCAAAAATAATTTAAAGCAAGTTGAGTTTTCACTTAAACATAACCAAAGAGGCGCTCTTGATAAAAGCATTGCTGTCAGTTTTGAGAACATTTTTTAATTTTCATAGTTATCACATGAAGCATTCTTATGCTAATTGATTGAACGTAATTAATAAAGTTAATATTTCTAAAAGATAAAAACAATGCTTCATTGATTTGACTGAATGATAAAAGTAGTAGGTTGTGTTATATATATTTTGTTATCATAGATTGTTATTATATATATGTATATTTTTATGTATATATATATATATATATATATATATATAAAATGATTGACACGTAGACAAAAACTAATTGACATAAGCACTGACATAAAAGGTTGAGTGATTGGTTTGAGGAATGATTGATTTGACAGTGGTGCAGTACCCTAACCAGCATTGTGCCAACGCAAACGTCAAACAGTCCCTGCTTATCGACGCTACATCTTCAACGTCGTCATCATTATCGATGTTCCAATCGCCATCCTCATCGTCGTCATCGTCGTCATCACTACCATCATCAGTTTCTTCATCATCGTCTTCATCATCTTCATCATCGAAACCATCGTGGTCGCCTGAGGGTTATTTGTCAAGTCACGTGGCAGACGAAACTTCGCAAGGGTCAAGGTTGTGTCCGTGGCAACTTGTGGTCAGCAAAGGTCAGCGAATCAATTTGACCTTGTATGATTTTGGTGGAGGTGAAGGTGCTGGAGCAGGGGGAACAGGAGTTGGAGCATGTTTGCTTTATGGAGTTATCAAGGTCAGTCAGCTTCTTACTGATTTAACTCAATAAACTGTTTTGTAAATGGATAAAATTGTTGTTGTCAACATCATTAAAATTTCGAGGTTATTTTTTTTAAGTTACACTCCAATCGATTACCAGTACATTACAATATCTCAAAAATGATTGTATACTGTGACGTTTTCAGAGCTATTGATTTAACGCTATATGTTTTATACAAGCATCAGAATAGCAATAATATAACATTATAACTTTGTTTTGTAATAAATATATATATAGATATTTAAATAAATTTTTACAAATATTTTATCATCCTTATTACACAATCATAGTAACTTCATCGTAAATGTAGTATAATGAAAATATTGCAACGACATCAATGTAATTATTTATCATTAACTTTATTCTTTTAATTACAGTATTTTTGATACAGTCATAAACAACACCATAATCGTCATCACCATCCCAGCTGCTGCTATATCATCCTACATATCAGATTTCAAATTCCATCTAGACACCATATCATCACAATCCTCATAGCCCCCATCATATGTATTCAATAAAGTCATCGTCAGTAAAACCAACATATTTACTCTAGTCACCCATCAATAAATCATTATTATATAGTCTAATAAATAATCGCAACATATGAGTATTACGATGGTGTAACGGTAAAGTTCCTGGCTATCCTATCGAAGTGACCGCATTCGATTTCAAAGAAATCCCCGACTACCGCATGCCATGCAATGTGTGTCTAGCAAAAAATTGGTTCAACTCACTCAAATGAACACAAAATGATATTTCACATTGTACTTTGAAGTTTTTTATCATTTTATTTTGCAACGAAAACAAAAATTAAAATCAGAAAAATCAAAAGATGTGAGAAAATAAAAATACGAATGAAGTGTGGCGAATAAAGAGTGGTGATAAAATCTAAACATTACCACAACCACAGGCCATTCAAACATCTAAGTTTGCCTCTCATTATTTTTGTATATGTGTATGCATGTATGTATGCATCTTTGTTTGTGTGTGTGTGTGTATGTATGTATGTATGTATGCATGTATGTATATATGTATGTATGCATGCATGCATGTGTTTGTATGTATGCATGTATGTATGTATGTTTGTATGCACTCCAATGTGCGAAACATAGTAGCAAGCGTGTTTTTATGCCGCCTAGTAATTCCGTTATAAAGAGGCTTAATGTAAAACAAAGCGAGAAAAAGTAAAGTAACTGACTTGAAATTGATGTCGTAAATAGACCAATTTGTATCTGCGTGAAACGTTTGTGTTTATGATTGTTTGTTTTACTGCAGATTGTATATTTATTTGTGTATGTTCGTTGTTTTTAATTTGTTTACTGGTTTCATGGAAACGACCATTTTTTAAATTTTTTTAAATTGTTCTATAATAAGAGGCATTTTTGATTTGAGCTCATTTATTCATAATGACGTTCGCTACTAGTTTATTACTTTTGTTCCATGCATGTTCTTACATTTCTCTTTCTCTTTTGTTATTGAAGTTGATTTTGATTGATAATGGTACGTTTATTACATTGCTTTTGCCAGTTTTTTTTCATTTTTTTTTTAGTTTTGCCTTTTCTTGTTTTGTCATTGTATTATTTAACTGGTAATATTTTTCCTTTCATTCATATATATTTTTTTTATTTATTTTCTCATGAACAAACACTTTATTGCTCTATCATACTATGTAGTCTCTTTTTGCGCTCTTGTTCATGTTTTTGTCGCGTCGTAACTGCTTCTACATTTAAACTGTTGCTCGCTGTTTGAGTTTTTGGATATGTTTCTAATGTTGCATATTCTTTTGCTTCTCTTGATTACGTTGTTGTGTGTTGTTGTTATGTAGTGCACAACTGGAGTGTAGCAACACATGTTGAAATTTTATAAGAGTAAATGTCATTTCTAAGAACTGTTTCCTTTGATGTACTTGATTTCAATCGCTTAACGGGGAGCTTAATTTTTGCTTATTACACAAATTTTAACTTATTTTGCTATTAAAACCAAAGGTTTTGTACAAATGTGTGCTCAATTTTATTGCTGTGGGAGGCTGAAATGAACTTCAGTTCACATTTTTCAAATTTATACATAGTGTTCAGTTTAGCTGCAACCCTACCAACATTTTCCATCACCTCCTTTGCCGACTTCTCGCTCCGCTGTTGAATGATTACGTGCAAATATATCTGATCCCACATAAATTAGTGAAATTATCATTACGAATACTTGCGAATGTTGTTGTAAAATAAAAAAAATTTTCTGAGACAATAAATTTGTTTCAATTGATTGATTTGTAAACAAATATAGTTTTCCAAATCTATTAAACCTAAAATAAACACAAGGAAGAGAATGTAACACATGCCATGCGTTTGTGTGCGTTGTCTATGTGTAGATGCATGTATGTACACATGTGTATGTATGCGTTTAATGTTTATGTGAGAGTGCGTTCTTACGTACGTTTGAATGCGTGTGTCGATCAGTGTCCATTTTTAATTCTGTAAAGTATATATGTATGTACTGCACATCTGCATGGGCTGGTGTATACTTACCTTGTGGGAAAGAAAGTCTGTCAGTGTGTGTGTGTGTGTGTGTGTGTGTGTGTGTGTGTGTGTGCGTGTTAATGTGTGTGTGTGTATTTGAGTGTGTTTGTATGTACATGCTTGCCTTAATTTAATTACATTAAAGGTTTCATTCAGCTAGCATCTTCTTTATTAATTATGTTTACAATTTTAATGGAATTACTTTGGTTCAAGCCGGGTCTAAGCCTATCAATTTTTTGCGGTGAGTTTTCTTTTCTTATCTTGCCGATGTATTTGTTTTGGTTTCTTTATTATTTTCTATTTTCATGCTAAGAAACTATTTCGTTTGTCTTAATATTTCGATGAAACAGCAAAATGCACTGTTATATTGTTACACTGTGTGCTGAGTTCGGCAATTATTTTTTTGGGACTCACACACAGCAGGTTAAAATTTTTAAAAAATTCTGCGGTTTCAAAAATTTATTAGAGGTAGTAAAGTGAAATGTCACATGCAGTTAAACAGAACGGATGCATGAAAATTTTTTTTTCCCATACAAGTGTCAAAAGTTTTCGGTCATAAATTTTTATTTAATTTCATATTTCATGATTCCTCAGAAATGCATGCTTTCCAGGCGTGCACATGCTACCGATGTGAAGTGTACAAACACCACACATCATAAATTCCACACATCTCATACATGCATTAATATTACGAGATATTACGTTCGTATTTGTGGAAAGATGTACATATAAACGCGTACAAACACACGGGTGTATAAAAAAAACATAAGCATGAACAAACAACACACACATGTGGAAAATTGGAGACATTAAAATGTGCATAATAAATAAAGTGTAATAAATATACAAAGATTATTTTTTTAAATGTTTGTACAGTTGTACACACACACCACACCACACACACACACAAACACAAAAACACACACCCGCTCTCTCTCTCTCTTCCCTCAACACACACACGCACACTCATGCATACACTCAAATACATACACGAAGACAAACACAAGTTTTGTTTGTATTTATTTGTTATATTTAATATTTGTTTAATAATAATTCATGTACTAAGTGGGTTAGAGCTCCGAAAAAGAAGCTTATAAACAGATGCAAAGACTTGCGTCTACCACACAAAATAAAAACATTGCCAGAAGAAGCAGACGTAATTGCAGCTTTATTTATGGCAACAGGTTGAAACAGAGTGAATGTTTATGCGGAAAATATTTAAGAAGATCATAAAATGAAAAATTAAAACAAAGTAAATTTTATTCTCGTACGTTTCTTCTTCTATTGTTGTTCAGTAAATGTGATTTATGTTTCAAAATTCATTCTTTCATTTTATTTCCATCAGTTTATTTTTTCATTCTCCTTTCATTTGCATGTTCTTTTATTTGTTCTTTTTTTAATACATAGCCACAAGAACCTAAAAAACACAAACATAACCCAGCACAAACCAACATAAACATTTATAAACATACAAAATAACCTCGTTGTAAATCTAGATGCTTAGCACGCATGCGTGGATTTATAAAGCAACCGAGAATACAAACATATATATACACATATACACAAATTATTATAAGCATGCAACACACGTATACAACACACACACACATAAATGTATATATATATATATATATATATATGTGTGTGTGTGTTGTATACGTGTGTTGCATGCTTATAATAATTTGTGTATATGTGTATATATATGTNTGT